GAGAATTTTAAAAAACAAATCCCCCCTCCCCCCCCCCCAGTTTTTATCGGCTTCTCCTCGCGCCTTGCCGGAGCTTCTATATGGGGGGGGCGTGCGTGCTGGAAGCAGCTGCTGCTCGGGCGACCTCCCCGGCTGGGTTTTGCATGTGTAAACCCTCCCCTCTTGTGCCTGGCCTCTCCCTCCGCCCGACTTTCCGAGCCCAAACTCACCGGCTACTGCAGGAGCTGGAAAGGAGGGGAGTGAGAGAGGGTCCCAGCAATCATCCCCCATTTTTGCACAACTGATCAGTGGTTCCGAAATGGCAGCCCCTCGCTTTAGAGGCACCAAAAATGGCCGTCCCTATGGAGGATTTTCGCATAAGGTGAGTTTTTAAGCCCATAGGAACGTATTAAACGTGTTATAATACGTTCCTATGGGCTTTTTAAAATCACTTAACGATTAAATCACTTAACGACGTTTTTCCTGGAACGGATTAACGTCATTAAGCGAGGCACCACTGTAGTTCCTTCTGTCCACATAAGCTCAATTAAGCTACTTAACAACAGGGAGGAAAATTCCAGAATGTTCCCCTGTCAATAAAAAGAAATGGCTATGTGTTGCCACTTTGTTGAAAAATCCTAACCAAATTTTGTTGAGTAAAACAAAGATTTGCGACAATTTAGCAGCTGGATTTCTACAACACATCATGTTAACCAACCTCCCTGGTCCCACGCAATGAGCTCACAGAAGTCATGATGTGTACTGGCTGTATCCGGCGTTGTTTCCATTCCTGATTTAAGACTTCTGTTCTTTCTTGTATCTTCTGACGATTAGAATTAAACATGCTCTGGAAATAAGATTTAAAATACAGGGTTTAGTTAGGACCCACTCACATTTATACAGTTGTCTGAATATCAACAGCAAAGCCCATCTGTGGCCATCAGACTGTGGTAACTCATAAACATAAATTTCATATATACCTACATATTTCCATATATTTCAGTAGCTAAAGATATTTTATCATCTGCTTTTGAAGGACTTAAGCAGCATACTTTCAAGAAGTCCTTGATAAAGTGTGGTGGTGATCTATGCAATACATATATAGTTTCAGTGCCTATACCAAGTTTTTCAGGACATTCTAGAACTAGCGTAGTTTTAGAAGAAAGGTTGCTTATAGTATTACAGTGGACCCTCGACTTACGGAATTAATCCATATTGGAACGGCGGCCGCAGGTCGAAAAGTCCGTAGGTCAAGCGTCCATTTCCCATAGGAATGCATTGAAAACCATTTAATCCATTCCAGCATTTAATCCATGCCGGCTTTCGGCTTCCCAAGCTTCCAAACCCGTTCTGCTGCCCTCTGTCTCCGACAGGAGACAGAGGGCAGCGGAGGGGATTTTGAAGCCCGGGAAGCTGAAAGTTGGCAGAGGGCACGGAGGGACTAGAGGGCAGTGGAGGGGGTTTTGAAGCCCGGGAATCCTACAGACAGGAGACAGAGGGCAACAGGGATGGGAGACAGACAGCACTGGGGGCAGCTTTGGAAGCCTGGGAAGCTGAAAGCCGGCAGTGGGCGCGGAGCGGCTTCAGCTTCCTGAGCTTCCAAAGCTGTACCCGCTGCCCACTGCCTCCTGTCCCCGGTGCCCTCTGCCTCCTGTCCGTGGGGACAGGAGACAGAGGGCAACGGGGATGGGAGACAGAGGACAGCGGGGACAGGAGGCAGAGGGCAGCGGGGGCGGCTTTGAATTTCCCGCCGTTTCCCCCTGAATTATGGTTCGACTTGCAGCCGGAGCTTTTCGTACCTCAAAATTTTCGTAAGTAGGGACCTTCGAAGTTAGGGGTCCACTGTAATTATTTACAGTCGTTCCCCGCTGGACGATTACCCCGCTCTATGACGAATCCGCATTACGTCAACGTTTTTGCAATCGCAAAACGATGTTTTAAATGGGGGAATTTCGCTTCACGTTGATCGGTTCCCTGTTTTGGGAACCGATTTTTCGCTTTACGACAATCAGCAAACAGCTGATTGTCAGGTTTCAAAATGGCCGCCAGTTTTCAAAATGTTTTCTAGGACGGATTCCTCGCTATACAGGCACCGAAAATGGCCGCCGTATGGAGGATCTTCGCTGGATGAGCAAGTATTCAGCCCATTGGAACGCATTAACCGGGTTTTAATGCATTTCGGTGGGGTTTTTTATTTCGTTTGACGATGTTTTCGCTCTACAGCGATTTCACTGGAACGAATTAACATCGTCAAGTGAGGCACCACTGTACTTGAAGGGCCACTGGTGTATAATCTCAAAAGATATGACTCACGTCTTTCAGGTCTGTTCCTTTCATTGCAACAGCAGCTCAGAACCAGACTAATTGAGAATCCATAGCAGGGACAGAATATGGGTTGTGAAAGTCTGATAACAAGGCAAGCAACTTGTTTTTCTTCACTGTCTCTACACTCACTGTATTCACTGGCATTCAGTATTGCCAGAAAAAGGCAGATCTGTGATTCCAACTATTTATTTCTTTGTAAAAGTGGTTATCAAAGATGGCAGCACCATGCAGTAACAGTAATATATTTTTGCTCAAATATGGCAATTCTTCAATTAGGTCTTTAAGAATATGACGAAATCATGAAGTTTATCAACCTTAGACCCTGCACATTCAAACATGTTCCTTTTGGAATCTTCAATACAACTTTCTTTTGTAAAAGACACTTTTCATAACATTGTTTCATTTGGACCACCAAGCCTTGACAATTTTTTTTGCATTTGTTTACACTTAACACAAATAACTGCAATAACCATGAGTAAAGGAGCTGCCTTAGAATATTCCTAAACTGCATCTCATTTTACTCCCCACTGACACTACAGATTTTCTCTTCAATGGAGAGAATCACATGATGAATCTCACACTATATTCACAAAGATCTCAAGCCTTTTGGAATACTCTGGTCAAACGATTTCACTTTCATTCCTATTGCTTTCTCTATCTCTTAAAATCTCTTCTTTATCCAGAAATTTTCCACCTCAAACAATCATATATTCTTTGGACCACTTGAAACTTAGCACTTAAAAGGTAAGGAGTTTGTTCTGTGTCCACAGCTTTGCAGAGGAACAAAATTGATGTCTCTTTCTAACAGGGTGCGAAAAATTCAATGATTTTTAAAATCATGATTTATATTTTTTTAAATGATTTAAATCATAATAACCCAGATTTTTTATTTAAATCAAAACCACCCTGCTTTTGAAACTCTGCATGTTTATTTGAAAACACTTTTGCTATTAAGAAGTGATGTGTTATCTCTTCAGAAACACATTTGAGAACATCAAAAACAAATATCTATGATAACATGACACTTGGGCCCTAATGAATGAATTAATGGAATCCATTTACAAAATTCTGTAAGAACTGCAATAATATACAGTGGTGCCTCGCTTAACAAGTGCCCCGTTTAACGATGAATCCGCATAGCGATGAGGTTTTTGCAATTGCAAAAGTGATCGCATTGCAATGTTTTAGATGGCCAAAAATCACTTTGCGATGATCAGTAAGCGTTTCGCGAAAATGGCAGCCGAATGGAGGATTTCTGCATAGCGGTGAGTTTTTTCCCCAGAGGAACGCATTAAATGTGTTTTAATGCGTTCCTATGGGGTTTTTTCCCTGCATAGCGACGAATCCGGATAGCAATGATTTTTTCGGCACGGATTATCGTCGCTATGCGGGGCACCACTGTATTGCATACTTTAAAACTATTTGTATTCGCGAAGGCGAATATTTCCCCTGCTGGAGAAGGAGGCGAGGGCTCCCAGGCAGGGCCGCCATGAGCGAAGGATCCAGCGCTGCAAGGGCAGGAGCGAGGTCCGGTTGGAAAGAACAGGTCTGTCGGTGAGGGAATAGGGCCTCATTTCCCCCCTTGCAGCGCTGACTCCGTTGTTCATGGCGGCCCTGCCTGGCAGCCCTTGCCTCCTCTTTCTCTGGAAGCAGAAGCATCTCCCACTGCCGGAGCCCCGCTTGCCCCGCCGATGGACGGTGTGCAGCCGCCCAGGCTGCGCCTTGGAGCTAAGGCTGGCAGGTCCCCCTCCCTCCCTGCTGAGCACCTTCCATCAGCTGCCCACCCTCCCTTGGTCTCTGTCCCTCTTCTTTACTTAGCTGGGAAAGAGAAGAGCAGAGGAGCCAGCTGGAGAGGACAGCGGGCTGCCGCCGCCGCCGTCCTTGCTGCTCTTCTCTTTCCCGGCTAAGTGAAAAAGAGGGACAGAGAGCAAGGGAGGGTGGGCAGCCCTGGGCAAGGCTGGCCCCAGCTGAGGGTTGCCTTTGCCTGGAGATGGGGGGATGGCGGTCAATCATCGCCCAGGGCTGCCCACCTACCTGGCTGCACTCGCCATTCAGCAAGGACTCATCGCGCTGCATGAGAGGGCATGGAGGTGGCTGGGAAGCCATTTCCTCCAGTGCAGCAAGACCGCCCGGACAGCCTCCTTGTCCCGCTTTCTCAGCCTTTCCTGCGTCTTGCCGGTG